TCAGACCTCCGTGACCTTTAATTAAAATGTTGCAAGAAAAACTCAAAATATTTTTTTTTGTCTTATTTAGTAAAACATCAAGTACTGGTTTCTGCAAAAATATCAAAATAATTATACCTATCAAACCTTAGTTTTAATAGGCAATTATATATGTGTAGTTGACGTCAACACCTGGTCCTCCCTATCATTCTTATTCTCCGTCTTTCAGCATTCCTCCTACTGCCTCCCCTATTCACTCGTAGTCACATGTGCACCACCTTCTCCTATGTTACTTGACACACACACATGTCATAGTCACTGCAAACCCTTCACCCCTTACCTCTATACACTCCTTCCTTCAGTGAGACACAGGGGGACACGTTGAAGCACAGTCCGACACACCGAGACACTAGAGATAGACAGATATATTGAGACAGAGGGGTATCTCATCAGCTGAGATATTCGGCATTCGGTGCTACCCTGATCTGCCTATGGCAGTTCCCTACCTCCTACGTTTCATCCTGAAAATGTGGCAGCTCCTTCGTCATCTCTGAACGGCAGGTAATGGTCTTAGCGGCCTGATAAGGCAGCTCCACCGCCCCCGACGCTGTTTTGACATCAACAACGGAGGAATGTGAGGGGTAAAGTTTATCTCTGGTGTCGGTGAAGTCTCTCCCTCATCTGGTTGTCTCATCCCTCACCTCCTCATCCGCCACATCTGGCGGATGAGGTGATCATCACTTGGTTTTCATCACTGTGAGTAACCTTGTCTGGTGCAGTGATGATGGGGTCTCCTGGCCCCCCTTCCCTCTTGTGTTATGGCATGTCTTATGTCTTCACCTTGTGGTATGTTTCATGTCTACACCTCGTGGCATGTCTCATGTCTACACCTTGTGGCATGTCTCATGTCTACACCTTGTGGCATGTCTCATGTCTACACCTTGTGGCATGTCTCATGTCTACACCTTGTGGCATGTCTCATGTCTACACCTTGTGGCATGTCTCATATCTACACCTTGTGCTGTGGCATGTTTCATGTCTCCAGCTGGTGCTGTGTCATACACCGTGCCAGCTTCCTCGTCCTGCTCATAAGACAGGTGGTGAACTATGTCCCACCTGTCCATCATCAGTGAAGACTTCTCTCAAGTTAGTGAGCCAAATCTCCACACCTGGTATGGCATAACAGGTGCACTTTGACCCGAGGGGGCGCACACACCCCCCTTGTCTCGCCTTCGTATTACAGTATGTAAAAATGCTATTGGCGCAGGATTGCCTAACTCGGACAAACGGTGTCGATAAGGGGCAGGAAAATCTTTCTTTCCATTCTTTGTGTCGTTCGTTACGGGTTTTATCACAAAGTGTCGCGAAGGCGACCATTGTGGGAATATTTATGACATCATTATAATCCTCCTCTCCATCTTGGAAAAAGGTTCTCTGGAAAACACATGCTGATATACGGCATTATTGTGGTGATTCACTGACTGCCTGCGGGTGAGCAACGCTACCTGGAGAGGGGAGAGGAGGAGGAACGGCTATACTACCTCCAGTCTGTATTGTGGCTGGGATACAGCTGCTATACCAGCCTGTACCCAGCTAAAACCGCATAGATACAGTACTAAAGGTTGGTAAATGCTGTCTGTGTTGTCAACCTAGCCTGAGATAGCGTGCGAGAACATGAGGATGAAAGGTACTGTAGATGTACTTTTGACCCATGCGTGGTAGTCCCTATTTATATCCACCCATGTACTTTTGACCCAGCCTGAACGTGGTAGCCTGGGAGAACCCTATTTACGTGGGTGAGTTAGCCACGTGGGTGAGTTAGCCTGGGAGAATGGTGAGTTAGCCTGGGAGAACGTGGGTGAGTTAGCCTGGGAGAACGTGGGTGAGTTAGCCTGGGAGGACGTGGGTGAGTTAGCCTGGAGAGCCTGGGGACGTGGGTGAGTTAGCCTGGGAGGACGTGGGTGAGTTAGCCTGGGAGGACGTGGGTGAGTTAGCCTGGGAGGACGTGGGTGAGTTAGCCTGGGAGGACGTGGGTGAGTTAGCCTGGGAGAGCGTGGGTGAGTTAGCCTGGGAGGACGCGGGGTGCATCCAGCAAGGCCAACAGACGATGGCTCGTCAATTACATGTATTAACTGTGCTGTAAATCGTGAAAGGGACGCCGATACATTAAATATATCGCTCGTGAACGCCCGCTGGTCTGGGGGAGTGGTTTGCTGTGATGGTTGATGGTGAGGCCACCCTGCCAGGGCCTGGGTCACCCTGCCAGGGCCTGGGTCACCCTGCCGGGGCCTGGGTTTGGCAGAGTGTGTGGGCGTGGGTCTTTCTCTCAGGAGAGAGAGAGAGAGAGAGAGAGAGAGAGAGAGAGAGAGAGAGAGAGAGAGAGAGAGAGAGAGAGAGAGAGAGAGAGAGAGAGAGAGAGAGAGAGAGAGAGAGAGAGAGAGAGAGAGAGAGAGAGAGAGAGAGAGAGAGAGAGAGAGAGAGAGAGAGACAGACAGAGAGAGAGAGAGGGGGGTGGGGTAGAGAGAGAAATCAGAGAAACTGAGAAGGAAATGTGAGGAAGATTGATGAGAGTTCTCGAACAGTAAGGAGCTCCACAAGACGTCTCTCCTGCAGCTATACCTGCAGGAAGACAAGAAGCGAAGCAAGCCTGTGGACGGTGGCTTGAGGCAAGGAGAGACGGTAATAAGAGCGGTCAACCCTCATCTAAGACAATAGTAACCACAAGAAAGGTCTTTAAAAGCAATATTACGCTTTCTCAAACTCATGACCTTTGGCTTGGATAGGACTTGGCTCTTCACGCTTCTGGCGAGCCAAAAAAATCACTGGAGAGTCAGTGCTCGACAACTGAGAACGGTGTGAATATACAACTTCGTCGAAACTTGAGTTAAACTTCTGTTGTATATCTCATAATATTTACAACAAAGTACCAAATACACAGAGAAATCACATTATCGTGATACATCAGTGAACAAATTCACTAGTGCGTGCATCTGGGATCACCCGGCGCATGTGTAAAGGAGGAAATGTATATGTTTATCTCTCAGAATGTTCGGTAATACGTTTATTGCTTGTGATGTGTGTCTATGTATGTATTAACACGATGTACTGAACGGGGTGAGAATAGCTTGAGCTACCTCATCCCTTTGTGTGTATTTTACCTCAATAAACTTATTTCAATTTAAATTTCAAACCCAAGCGCATTGATTCGATCCCACATCACGGCTCCTGTGGATTTGTTCAAAGTACTAAATTGTACTTGGGTTTAAAACGTAATTACGGTGTAAGACCGCTGTAACAAGCGTACAAAATAGTACTACTAACGATGTGATTATCTTATGTGTTTGTTGGATTAAGGTCATTAATGTACGGTATTACTTGTAAGAGGTCGGCCCTATTGCCGACCTCTTGCGTGGAAAATACCTGCCTAAATGTTGGGGGTCATCACTTTTAATGGCATTGATAACCACTCATGTTGATAAGCTTCTCTGTTGTTATCGTTGGCAACGGGAAAGTGTAATTCTTCCGCGATTAATTCCTTGGAAAATGGAGTCTGTTCCTTGAGATTGTATGCCGGTGAAATGCTCAATGGTTCCTCGTCACTAGATGATCAATTACTGGTTACTCGTCACTAGATGATTAACTGGCACTGAGAGCAATGTCACAACTTTGACTATAGTTTTGATCAGACGATAATGTGCGGAATATTACTCGTTCGTGGATAAATCAGGGAAGATGGACCACTGTGGCCAGTGGTACACCTTAAATGGCGCGAGGTAACCAGGCATGACTGTCAAGAGATTTAGCCAAGTGCTACAACTCGAGTCCAAATGCAAACTACTCATTTTGTAAATGCTAATTACCAATAAACAATGAGCAGTTAGGGGTACCATCACCAGTTGGATGAAAAGATCAGACACATTCGAGATTATCATGTTGATATGACATATGTTACAGATTCAGCTACTCGGAACAAGCTCCAAGTAGCACGGGCTATGGTGAGCCCGTAACTTAGCTGGCACAGGAGCGGGGCAAATAGCACGGGCTATGGTGAGCCCGTAACTTAGCTGGCACAGGAGCGGGGCAAATAGCACGGGCTATGGTGAGCCCGTAGTGGACTTACCTGGCACAGGAGCGGGGCAAGTAGCACGGGCTATGGTGAGCCCGTAGTGGACTTACCTGGCACAGGAGCGGGGCAAGTAGCACGGGCTATGGTGAGCCCGTAGTGGACTTACCTGGCACAGGAGTGGTGCCGACGTGATATATATATTAAATAAATCAAACTATATCCCGTCACTGACCAATCAGAAGTCAGTGAATGTTAGTAATGTAACTCCCGTTTTCTTTTCTCTATTACTCCACTTTCTAATTTTTCCCCCCTTCTCATTTTTACTTTTATTCCTTCTCCACATTACATTTCTTCTTTGCCAACTTCGCTTTGTGCTATAATGTGATTTTCTTTGGTTTCGTTTTTTTTATTATTATTTTTGTGATAAATTAAAAAATTAATGTTTGGGGTAAATTGATCAAAGTTCTGAAATTCCGTTTTCTTTCACGGTCGCTGCCTGGCCTGAGCGCTAGTAATTTTAATGACCCAAGAATTTCTCTCTCATCAACTGAGAAAAATATTGGATTATATCAGGTGTAAGACGCACATATATGACCTTTTAGGCTCAGGTGGTGCAGCTTGCGGCCGTGTCACCATCACCTGCGACCCTTAGTGACAAGAATGGTGACAATAATGGTGATGAAGCCTGGATCAGTTAATGGAAATATATTTAGTCACATAACTGGGTTAATACGGAAGTGATACTCATACGCGACGCGACGAGGGAAGCTTGGCTCTAGGTCCACGATTCGTCAAGCATTTACACAACCTCTTACGAAACCTGTGCATCATAAGCCGGGATTAGGGAACCCGTCCGTATGCCTGTGAGAGTCTTTTAATGCTCCTTGTTTGTGGTCTGTGGGTTACCGCTGGTCTGTGACTGGGGTTTGGTGTGGCAACAATCATTAGTGGAAACATGGATAGTCTGTGTTTCAGGGTCTTCTATAGACAGGGGTTTTTAATGGTGTTTTACGGTCCATTACCATCACCACCACCCACTGTCCGCGCCCCACAGCCGTCAGTACTCACTGTCCGCGCCCCACAGCCGTCAGTACCCACTGTCCGCGCCCCACAGCCGTCAGTACCCACTGTCTGCGCCCCACAGCCGTCAGCAGCCACTGTCCGCGCCCCACAGCCGTCAGCAGCCACTGTCCGCGCCCCACAGCCGTCAGCAGCCACTGTCCGCGCCCCACAGCCGTCACCACCCACTGTCCGCGCCCCACAGCCGTCAGTACCCACTGTCTGCGCCCCACAGCCGTCAGCAGCCACTGTCCGCGCCCCACACAGCCGTCAGCAGCCACTGTCCGCACCCCACAGCCGTCACCACCCACTGTCCGCGCCCCACAGCCGTCAGTACCCACTGTCTGCGCCCCACAGCCGTCAGTACCCACTGTCTGCGCCCCACAGCCGTCAGCAGCCACTGTCCGCGCCCCACAGCCGTCAGCAGCCACTGTCCGCGCCCCACCACCACCACCTCAACAACATGCCGCCACGCTGACTCCCTCCCTGGTAATAAACAGATTACTTTAAGGTCAACCTCCTGATGCTATTTACTATAACATGTCTAGAACTTCACCCTAGGAGCCAAAATGAAATTCTAGAGTTGCACTGTAAACTTGCAACTCGTTCTTAAGTCTTGTTTCTCGAAACTTGAGTTACAAACAGCCAGTGTGACGCCAGAACCAGAAATTACGACTCGTAATTAGCAGAATTCAGAGACTGCCGGGAGCCTCGCTCGGCTTCTCTCTGACAGGTTAATGTCACTATGTTTGGGGAGGTTTCTTAATATGTTTATACTGATTGAAAAGTACTGAAGCGGGAACGGTATTTAGCGTGGTCATTCCTGCCGCCGAGAAATGCTTGAGGAATCATTTGGTAATAGGTTTACTGCGTGGAGCAGCCGTTGATGGGAGGAGTGCCTAGACATCTCGTCGACAATAGTGTGGTGCCTCGCAATACAATAGTCTGGTGCCTCGCAATACAATAGTCTGGTGCCTCGCAATACAATAGTCTGGTGCCTCGCAATACAATAGTGTGGTGCCTCGCAATACAATAGTCTGGTGTACTGGCTAACCCGCCAAACACTCACCGAAACTACGACGTTGGTACAACGTTATAGCAACCAATATAGCAATTGTAACAACGTTCTAATACGTCATAAACACGTTAAACCAAGATATAACAACTTTATTACAAGTTGTAACAAGCGGAAAATAGAGACAGTTTCGGTTTGTGTTTCCAGGGATTAAGCGCTTTCTCCTAATAATTACCTTTCCCTTGCAAGGGGTTTAAGTGCTATATCGTCAAGCAGACTTAGCGCTTTTACCTTATAATTACCTTTCCAAGTGGTTTGAGTTGTTGGCAGCGAAAATGTCCAATTTGCGGAAATATCAGATTAACATTAATCGAGAGGATTACAGCATTAATCGAGAGGATTTGGGATTAGTTTGTGATCCTAAGCTGGAGCGGCTGAGTTAATTAAGTGACGTTGGTAAAGGTATAATTAGTCTTATATTATTAATTTGTTGTTGAATATGTGAGCAATGTGAGCTGAGAACCGCGGCAATTACTGAAGGAGTGCCTTGATATGTTGGTCTTTGGGTCATATTGGTTAATGGTTCTTGTCTGAACTGCGTTCATTGTTATCGTGATGGTTATCTTGAGGTTATCTTGAGATGATTTCGGGGCTTTAGTGTCCCCGCGGTGCGGTCCTCGACCAGGCCTCCACCCCCAGGAAGCAGCCTGTGACAGCTGGCTAACACCCAGGTACCTATTTTACTGCTAGGTAACAGGGGCATAGGGTGAAAGAAACTCTGCCCATTGTTTCTCGCCGGCGCCCGGGATCGAACCCGAGACCACAGGATCATAAGTCCAGCGTGCTGTCCGCTCGGCCGACCGGCTCCCGTGATAGTGATAGTGTTCATGCTGACTTTAATATTGATAATGAATACAGTGATGGGGAAGATGGTGACGATGGGAACGATGATGACGTGACAACAATACGAATATCAACATACAACCCGTCCTCGACTCAAGTCCATTACATCCAGAGGTCGACCCCACAGACGCATTCATAAATTTTAACATGCTGTTCATTCTACACAGGAATTTGCTCAAATATCAATTAATATTATATTAGTATATTGTGCATATATAGGCATAGGTTAGGTTAGGTTAGGTGTTTAGGTTCTGTTTGGGATTATTTGTATTTGTAGTAGTACGTGGGTGAAGCATCAACCCGTCCTCGACTCAAGTCCATTACATCCAGCGGTCAACCCCACAGACGCATTCATAAATTTTAACATGCTGTTCATTCAAAACGGGAATTTTCTCAAGTATAAATTAATAGTATAACATATTAGCATATTGTGTATATATAGGCATAGGTTAGGTTAGGTTAGGTGTTTAGGTTCTGTTGGCGATTATTTGTAATTGTAGTACGTGGGTGAAGCATTTACAACGTTGTAGTTCGAACAAAATTCGTCAGTGAAGCACTTGTTCCGGATATATTCGAACGTCAGCAGTTGTGAGTCGTGTGTAAACCGCTTTTTCATTCATAAACATGGGGTTTGGCGGGTGCATGGAATAACTTTAGGATCTTTGTTTGGAGAACGGGCTGTTTATAGCGTTGTGGTTCGAACAATATTAGTCAGTGAAGCACTTGTTCCTGATATGTTCGAACGTCAGAAGTTGTGAGTCGTGTGTAAACCGTTTTTTCATTCATAAACAGGGGGTTTGGCGGGTGCATGGAATAACTTTTGGATCTTTGTTTGGAGGACGGGCTGCAACATAGATTGTTTACACTTCACGGTGCTTCACGACTAGAGTCGAAGTTAAACTCTTTAGAGAGTAACGACCTCTAGGAACTCTAGGAACCTCTAGGGAGCCGGTCGGCCGAGCGGACAGCACGCTGGACTTGTGATCCTGTGGTCCTGGGTTCGATCCCAGGCGCCGGCGAGAAACAATGGGCAGAGTTTCTTTCACCCTATGCCCCTGTTACCTAGCAGTAAAATAGGTACCTGGGTGTTAGTCAGCTGTCACGGGCTGCTTCCTGGGGGTGGAGGCCTGGTCGAGGACCGGGCCGCGGGGACACTAAAAAGCCCCGAAATCATCTCAAGATAACCTCAAGATAACGACGTTAACGACCTCTAGGAACGACGTTAACGACCTCTAGGAACGACATTAACGACCTCTAGGAACGACATTAACGACCTCTAGGAACGACATTAACGACCTCTAGGAACGACGTTAACGACCTCTAGGAACGACATTAACGACCTCTAGGAACGACATTAACGACCTCTAGGAACGACATTAACGACCTCTAGGAACGACATTAACGACCTCTAGGAACGACATTAACGACCTCTAGGAACGACATTAACGACCTCTAGGAACGACATTAACGACCTCTAGGAACGACATTAACGACCTCTAGGAACGACATTAACGACCTCTAGGAACGACATTAACGACCTCTAGGAACGACGTGCGGTCGCTCAAGATGCGTGTCATCGTTACCATTTAGTTCTGAAGCTGTCTAACATAGACACTTTGCACGAGGATAATTGCATTTACGGCTATTAAGACAACTACATCTTCGAACGGAGTTTCTCATTGATCAAAACGCACCCAATTACGGGTCAAACTGATGATAACGCTTATCAGTCGATCTAATTGATGCCAAGGCTGATAAAGGTGATATTGATTGTGTAGTGTTTAATTGAAGTTGTTGAGAACGCCCTTAGTAGGCCTGAGAAATTTCAATCAGATGACCTCTGTTGGTTATTTTGACTTAGTAAGATCAAACTATCTGTAAGACATCCATGTGGTCTATCTTTGCTCCAGTAAGATTAGAGAGCATTTTGAGATTAGAATATAACTTGTAGTACAACATGGAGTTGAGATGTATACACTTGATGATAGTAATAATAAAAATTATAATTTGTATACAATTTACATGTTGAATTGTATATGTTAAATTGATTCAAGACGTACCCCACAACTGGCTGTGTGGAGGGGGTGAGAAGTGCTCCACCACTGGCTGTGTGGAGGTGGTGAGAAGTGCCCCACAACTGGCTGTGTGGAGGTGGTGAGAAGTGCTCCACCACTGGCTGTGTGGAGGTGGTGAGAAGTGCCCCACAACTGGCTGTGTGGGGGTGGTGAGAAATGCTTCACCACTGGCTGTGTGGAGGTGGTGAGAAATGCTTCACCACTGGCTGTGTGGAGGTGGTGAGAAATGCTTCACCACTGGTTGTGTGGAGGTGGTGAGAAATGCCCCACCACTGGCTGTGTGGAGGTGGTGAGAAATGCTTCACCACTGGCTGTGTGGAGGTGGTGAGAAGTGCCCCACAACTGGCTGTGTGGAGGTGGTGAGAAGTGCTCCACCACTGGCTGTGTGGAGGTGGTGAGAAGTGCCCCACAACTGGCTGTGTGGAGGTGGTGAGAAATGCCCCACCACTGGCTGTGTGGAGGTGGTAAGAAATGCCCCACCACTGGCTGTGTGGAGGTGGTGAGAAGTGCTCCACCACTGGTTGTGTGGAGGGATGAGAACTAATCGTGTGTACTTGCGAATGCTGTGGGGAGAGATGTTCGTAACATACAAAATACTCAGAGGATTAGCAACGTAGATAGGGAAGATATGTTCAGGTTATATGCAGGTGACCGAGAGGAGAATTCCATACAAAACTTCCAAAAGAGAAATTACCCTTTACGATAATATAGTACTGGGAAGGGATCACGATAAGGATTTGGGATGGGACGGGGGAAAGGAATGGTCCCCCAACCACTTGGACGGTCGGGGATCGAACGCTGACCTGCATGGCTAAAATAGTACGTTAATATATCCACTGATGACTTGCTGGGACCTATATATCGTTGATACATCTATTCATTAATGTTGTAAACCAATATGATGTATTAGTTAATAACGGGTTAATAACACAGAAATCACAATAGCGTGATGCATCAAATGAACAAATCCACAAGGGGCTGTAATGAGGATTCGAACCTACGTCGCAAGGGGTACTTGTAATATAGCCCAGTGGTGTAGCGGCCCCGTGTAGAGTGGTGGTGGGGGGTGAGCAGCAGCATCAGGTGATCACTGTTGCTTGTTAAGGATAGTGAGCAGTTCAGTATTTACGTCGTAGGTCCATTAAGGAAAATTAAACTTGTCAGCGTAATGCAGCTTTGTAAATGACTCCATTGCGAGGATATATTTCCAGGCTAAGTAGAACTAAATTGTGTTTGGACTTGGCACAGTGACGGCTTTGTATGTTGCAGGGTCGGCGTTCGATCCCCCGATGATCAATGTTTTAGAGATTTGTATATTCAAGAACTCTTCACTTAGTCCCCCAGGATGAGTATTTGGATTGGCAAGTTTTCATGCTTATAAACTGTTTAATAAATGTAACCAAAGCCGTCGATGATTGAGGAAAGATGTACACGTTCGTAAGTGCTTGCGTAACTGCTTCGTGAATCTGGCCCCAGGATCGCCTG